TACTCGTAATCCCTCTCCCCATTATATTGCTTTGAGTTCTCATAGATTATCTCCACCTTTTATATCTGTCTTTCGTCCATTTCTTTTGTGTCAATTCTCAAACCCGTAATGCCTTAGCTCATCCTTATTAGCGTCAGACCATGTTTGATGAAATAAGTGTTCTTCATGGAACTTGGGAACTCGTCTCATTACCGTTTGGAAGATCTGTTGTTGGTTGTAAGTGAGTTTTTGCTATCAAAGTTGGTTCTAATGGTACTATTGATCGTCTCAAAATTCATCTTTTGGTCAAAGGTTATATACAAATTTTTAATTTTGACTACGGTGACACATTTTCTCTAGTGGCAAAGATGACTTCTGTTTATTTATTCATAGTCATGACTACTCTTCAATAATGACCTCTTTATCAACTGAATGTCAAAAATGTTTTTCTTAATGGAGATTTGCAAAAAGAAATTTATATGGAGCAACATCCAGACTTTGTTGCTCAGGGGAGTCTTCTGGATTAGTATGTCATTTTCAGAAATCTTTATATGGCATAAAACAATCTCCTAGGGCCTGGTTTGGAAAATTTAGCAGTGTTGTTCAACAGTTTTGTATGACTTGCAGTGAGACAGATCATTCAGTATTTTACCTTCACTCAAGTATTGGGTATATCTATTTAGTAGTATATGTTGATGATATTGTTCTTACAGGGAGTGATCATGATGACATCTCCTAGATGAAACAACACCCTTGTCACTACTTTTAGACCAAATATTTTGACAAACTTATATATTTCTTGGGGATTGAGGTAACACAATACAATAATGGTATTATTATATTTCAAAGAAAATATACATTTGATATTTTAGAAGAAACTGAGTTGATGAACTCAAAATTTGTTGACACACTCATGAATCCTAATACCAAACTTTTACCTAATCAAGTGGAGCCTCTCTCAGATCTTGAGAAGTATAGAATATTAGTTGGAAAATTAAACTATCTTATTGTTACTCCTGACAATTTCTTAATTCCCCATGTACAGATCATTGGAATGTTGTCATCCGTATATTAAAGTACATTAAAGGATATTTTGGAAAATGTTTTTTATATGATCACAATAATCAAGCTAAAGTTGTTTGTTATTCAGATACTGACTAGCAGGATCTCCTTTTGATATAATATCTACTTTCGGATACTATGTTTCTATTAGAGGTAACTTGATCTCTTGGAAGAGCAAGAAACACAATGTTGTGGCAAAACCTAGTGCAAAAGCAGAATATAGAGCTATGACTTCAGGAACTTGTGAACTTGTTTGACTTAAACAATTACTTAAAAAAGTTGCAATTTGGAAATGTCATTCAAATGACATTTATATGTGACAAGGTTGTTTTTCATATTAGTTCTAATCTTATTTTTCATGAAAAGATCAAACACATTGAAGTTGACTGTCATTTTATTCGAGAAAAGATTGTATCTAGAGACATTAAGACCGAGTTTGTTAACTCAAGTGAACAATTAGCATATATTTTCACCAAGTCTTTACGGGAACCTATAATTGATTATATTTATAACAAACTTGGTACATATGATTTATATGCATCAGCTTGAGGGGGAGTGTTAGATATGTTAGATATTATTAATCACATTATATGTATTTTCTATATTATTTGTATGACTCTTAATTATAAATATATTATCCTATGTGTATTTTAGACACAAGAAAAATTAATTTTATACTTCATTTTTCACTATATTCAACAAAAATATAAAAATATTTCTGTCATGTTTTGAAAATAACCCATATTCCAAAGTTCCATTCACATATATGAATATCCTCTTAGTTGCAAGCAAATGAAATAATCTTTGATGTACCATAAACTTAATAACCAGCCTCATTCCTTAAGCTATGTTAGGTATACTACTGCACAAAAATCTCAATGAACCCATAATCTATTTGTACAAGGTTGCATTAATTATCTTGTCACTTCCTTTCTTTTCTAACTTTATATCATAATTAGCTGGTGTTTAGACAAAATTACAATCCTCCATATGAAATCTTTTTAATATTTTAGTTGCATATCTCTTTTGATGCATGAAAACTTCATCACTTGTTGATACAAATTCTAGTCCAAAAAGCTAAATAACAATCCTAAATTGGTCATCTAAAACTCCAACATAGTTATCCTTATAAACTTCTCAAATTCTTTTGCATTGTTGCCAATAACTAGTAGGTAATATACATAGAGACAAACTAATATTAAATCACTTACAGTAATTGGTGTACTTGCTATGGAAAAAAGGGACAATAAGCATACTTGATTGTAATCTATTTGATTATAATGAAACCTGATAAGTGTTTTTTAAGCAAGAATTAGACCTAACCCAAGAGTTAGGGTGAACTAGTATAAAAACTAAATGTTTTTATTTGATATATAACTTACTCATTAACATATTCTAGTTTTTGTAAACTTTTTTGTAAAATAACACCTTAAAACTATATGTTAACAATAATTTAAATGGAGTCTCTTTAGTTAAACGAAATTAATTGTTTTATATATTTATATTTAGATTGTTAAGTTAAATACAAATTTGATTAGATGATATTTTTAAATATATTATGAATTGTTGGAATAGATGTAAGTGTGTTTATATAGTATAATCGTGATGATATGATATAAAATGTGAAAAATATCATAAGTGTTCTCATTTGTATGTGATATAGTATATATGAATATTGATTTAGGATTTAAGAAGATATTATGATTCTATTGATTAATGAAATTATATAAAAAAAATATTAATTGCTTATAGTTAAAAAAAATTTTAATAATTTAGTATGATATGAAAAGAATTGTGTTACAATAAATGATTTAAAGTTTTATCGTAATACAAAACTAATTATATTTTGTTAAGTAATTGGAGAATTATGATGTGATAAATATACATTTTTATAATCTAATTTAATATCTAATGTTTTATAAATTATCTAACTTTCAATTTTTTATTTTTTTATACTCTATATTCTATTATTGATTTTACCCAACATGTTATCTATCATGTTTAAAATAAAATATAACACACTCAAATAAATATAGCACACTTAGTTTGACTTGTATAATGCTTAAAATATAATAATAAAAACTACTTTATTTAAAAAGGATGAAACATAATAAAAAAAATTATATAAAATCTAAAATTAAAAAGCTAACCCATTCAACAAAATGGTGGGTAGATAAGTAATTTTAATGTTATTCCAATCTATTAACCTAATGGGTAAAAATAAATAAGATGAATGGATTTATTTTAAAAAAATATTTATATTAAAAAATTATAATTAAAAAAATTATAAATATAATATATTTTTTAATTTATCTAATAAAAATATTAATTAGTAAATAAAAAATTAAATTATTTATATAATTAAAAATATATTTTCAAAAAATAGATATACAAAATATATTTTAAAAAAATATTAAAAATCCATCACATGCCTTTTCATGAGACAAACCGAAGTTTGTAGCCCTTCTTATTTTGTACGGATTTATTTTATGCGTGTTAGAGATGGAAGAAAACGGCACATTATCTGTCTATATAAAATTTGGATTATTTATTTTTTTGTTTTTTTAAACTGAGATAGTGATATATTAATCAAAATTAACATTATTGGTGAATATAATAAATTAATTAAAACTAATTTAATTTAGTATTTAATAGTTAATGATTTTTTTAATAGAAGAGACTAACTTTAAACCAAAAATACATAAATGGGTAAAATATTGAAGAAAAATGATACTTTGACAACTCAAATCCATACAACTCTTATAAATAACTCTGTTTTAATATTATAATAATAGTTTTATTTTATTTTTATTTATATTAAATCAGTTTATAGATTATTATATTAATAAAAGTGAGTTGTTTATAAGAGTGGTATAACTCTGTTTTAATATTATAATAATAGTTTTACTTTATTTTTATTTATATTAAATCAGTTTATAGATTATTATATTAATAAAATGAATTGTTTATAAGATTGTATAATTTATTATATTAATAAAATGAGTTGTTTTATTTTTATTTATATTAAATCACATAGATTATTATATTAATAAAAATGAATTGTTTATAAGAGTTGTATAATTTATTATATTAATAAAAGTGAGTTGTTTATAAGAATGGTATAGTTTTTGTTGTGAAAATATAACCACTCAATCTTGAATATGCAAAATAATCATTAAATCGCACCCATTACGAGGAGTACATACTGAAAATCTAAATAAGAGACATAACGAAGAAGAAGAAGACGTAAATCATTCACTCACTATACGGTAGCGGAAAGCTTCCTTAACCGGAGAAAACCAAACAAACCGATTACTCCTGAGAAGAGAAAATTTATCCTAAGATGAGGTGCGATTTTCAACATATGTATTTCATTTTCATTTCTTCTGTGGTTGAACAGAACATTTTAGAACACATGCATTCTGTGTTTTCTCTTTGTTTTGGCTAATTACTGATATATGTTAACTTCGATAAATTTCATATTATTTCGTTGTTTTGGATTTCTTTTGATTGTATTTACTTCTTCGTCTTCTGTTTGTTTTTTGTCTGCTTATTTTTTTAGAAATATAATTAATTAGGGTTTTTAGCATTTTTAATTCTCTTTGAAGCGATAATTTCATTGCATATTTGTTGATCTTCTTATGGTTTGCTACAAAGTGATGGTTTTCGTTTTATTTTCACATCGTTTACGGTTTACTTTACTCCTCTTCTCTGTATTTTATTTTATATATTTTGCTTGTTTTATTGTAAAATTAAAATCACCGTGAATTGGGAATTGGGATTTTTTTTTTCTTTCTTTTAGCGGAACGAGAAACGGAGGAAGCAATTAGTTCAAAGTTTTTGGTGTTCAAATTGGAAATATCTTTGGTACCCTGTTCATCATCATCTCTGACAAGATATGATTTGGTCTGAGGTGTTTTTTCATTTTTGTTTTGGAACATATCTGTCGCTTAAGGATTATGGATACAAGTAATGGGAATCTTCAGACATTTAACAATATATCTGGAATAGTCATCACTCATAAGATTGATGCACCCATTTTAGCTGTCTGTTGGTTTTGATAAAAAAACCATTTTTCATTTGATTTAAACTTCAATATTGAATGCATGGAATTAATGTTTAATACAGGAGCATTGAAACAAGAAAAATCGATGTCTAATTAAAAGATTTTGGTGGAAAATTTATCATTTTAGCATTAGAATCTTGGTTAGGGTCAAATTTGTTGGGCCTAAATCTATTCTAGTCAAGAGTTTTATACTTTGATTGATAGAAACGAAGAAATTGCATGCAAGTAGGTAAGTTGTCAGCATTTAATTTCTCTGTTTTCTGAATTTTTCTTTTATTTTTTGTTTGTTGTTCGGCAGTCATTTGATGGGTTTATCTTTTAGTTTCCTTCTACTTCATTGCAGAGAAGTTACATACTTTAAGTTTTAGATTATTTATTGGCTTTTGATGAAGAATTAGAAAAAAAAAATTCTGAATTTGGTGTGCAACAATCTCATCCCATTAGGTCTGGTAAACCACATGGATCGGTCACTGTTTCTCAATTTTTCTTAATGTTTTTGTATGTCTTTCCTTACTAAATTTGGGGTTCAATTTGATGGACTTATTTTCAACAAAAAGTTACTGAGCATTCTGATTCTGTCTGGATGACTACTTGAAAGAAATTTTTAAACTCAAACAAGTTATTTGGGGTTATTTCCAAGGCTAGAAATTAAAGTTAATGAACAAGCCTTTACAAAACTTTGAAACGGTGTTAGCTGTTTTCATGATTAATGATGACTAAGTGAATTGTCCAAACTCCGCACTTGCATGTGTTCTTTAAGGTGTTCATCCAAATGCTTTAAAGCTTCTTTTAGTCTGCAATTATGGAAGTAAAGCTTATTTTGCACGCCCTACATGAGTTAGCATTTATTTGTACATGGATACAATAAACCTATTTTCCACTCCAAAACACTATTCTTATGGGGCTATGAATCTTCTTCTCACATAGCCAAACTGTTTTTGGCAAGTCTACAATTATCTGTTCCTCTTTCTTCCTGATATTTTGGTTATTATCATGCAGCCGCCATCCTTCTGTCAAATGGGCTCAGAGGTCTGATGTTCTCTACTTAACAGTTGAGTTGCCTGATGCTAAGGATGTTAAGCTCAAACTGGAGCCAGAAGGAAAATTTTACTTTTCTGCAACTGCTGGTTCAGAAAAGATTCCTTATGAAGTTGACATTGATCTGTTTGACAAGATTGATGTAGATGTAAGAGCAGCGAGCTGATGGTTTTGTTAATCAAATAATTTCCATTTATATTGTAATCGGTGTGTTAATATGTCTTCTCAGAATAGCAAAGCTAGTGTGGGTTCAAGAAACATCTGCTACTTGGTAAAAAAGGCTGAGAACAAGTGGTGGGACAGATTGTTGAAGCAAGGAGGGAAATCTCCAGTCTTCCTGAAAGTTGATTGGGATAAATGGGTAGATGAAGATGAGGAGCAAGAAAGTCAACGTTAGTTATTTCCGAATTTCTCTGAATTTAAGCTTTCATTGCCATTGTTGTCTCATATTCTGTATTTCCTTTTCAGCTGCAGATGACTCGGACTTTGGCGACCTTGATCTTTCTGTTAGTACTATAGCTAAAACTAAAACATTATAGTGTATGTTTAGGTTGATGAACCCTCGAGTCTTGACCATAAATTCACTTTCACTGCAGAAGTTGAACATGGGAGGGGGTGAAGGCTTGGATTTTGATGCTGCAGGCAATGATGATGGTAAGCCTATCTAGGTTTTGCCCATGCTATTTATATGGGATGCAAGCCCTTTTCTTTTTTTTTTTTTCATGAAGTTCTTAGTTACAGCGAGTTAGGGAGCTTACTTCAACTAACTAGCAGCCTCTTAACTAGCTAACTGGCCACAGCTGAACCAAAGTAACTCAGTTTCTATCATTTTGCTTTAGCTGAAGTTAACATGTCTCTTGGTCATTTTGTTCAGATGATGAGAGTGACACAGAAGAGGAGGAGGATGCAGCAGAAGCATCTACTAGTAATGAACTAGATACGAAGGATGTCGTCAGCACCGATCCAAAGGACACACCTGATTCTAAAGCTACAACAGTTTGAGACTCGTGAACCCTAACATGGCTTCGACTATGTAAGGATAAGACAAGCATTCCTGGAAGGTTGCTTACTGAAAACCTTGCAGGGTTAACTAACTGATGGTTCGGTGCTGGCATGTTAACTTATTTTCAGCGTTTTGACCCTGGAATTTTTAACAAACTAAACGTATATGTGTTGGCCCTACATAATACTATGGAAATGTTATGTCTATGTTGAGTGCAGTGGACAAATGAACTCTTTACTTTTCAGGAAAACTACACTTTTTTTGAGCAAAGACTAAGGTAGATTGAACGATCCTACTAGAAAAGGCAAACTTGATCTTTGAGTTTTGATAAATGTTTTAAAACTTGGGATGCTCATTTAACTCTTGTAGGTGTTTTGAATTAGTGATAGGTTAAGGTCATGTTCTGAAAAACTCATTCACAATAGGGATAACAAAAATAGGGATAACAAATTGGATAGTCTTCCTGTTTGGATCCGTTTTGCCTTTAATCTGGTAAACAGGTTCGGTAGACTGACTTGGTATAGTTAAAATGGGTTATAAATCCTAGTGTATCAGGTGAGTTAGTTTATTAATATTTTTTATATATAAAATTTATATATATAATATTTTTAATTATATGAATAATTTTTTAATTTTTATTTATTAATTAATAATTTTATTAGATAGATTAAAATTTTATTATATTTATGTTAAAATAATTAATTATAATTAATAATTTAAATTTAATTAGTTAATATTTATAATTTAAATTATAGTATTATAATATATTTATATGTTTTGATGACATATTATAAAAATTTAATAATTTTAATTATATTTTTTATTTTAATATATATATATATATATATATATATTTTTTTAAAGTATGTAAGTTTGTCTTGTTCTTTGACTTTTGGTGGATTAGGTGAGGTAGTTTTAAACAGATTTATGGAATAAAATTACTAATATGTACTATTATTTTTTATACGGACTAATGGGTAGGTTTATCAGATTTAATCTGTTTTGTTATTTCTAGTTTACAAGTATTTAAATATATATATATATATATATATATATATATATATATATATATATATATATATATATATATCGTATGGGTTATATTGTATTCTTAATCATCTATAATTGAGATTTGTGGGATAAACATTCTAATTTTAAATTCGGGAAAAAAAGTAGTATAGACATCAATTACAGTATAAATAATAATGAGAATCAAAGAGTTGAACTCAACCATATTAAAGAAGTACAAAAAATAACTTAGATTTATCAAGAAGATATTACCACTAATGTTAATAAATACTATTACCTCATTTTACTGCCATAATTAAGGGCATGGTGTGACATCTTAACGTATCGTCATTATTATATCATTTTATTTTAAAATTAATATTTCAATGAATTCTCAACATTAGAGTATAGTGTTAACAAATTGATATCTTGGTGCATCAACTTTAGAGTATATTATTATTTATTATGGTGGAAATATAGTTTGAGAGATGTTAATTTGGTTGTTATTTTCATTGTCACTCAAAAATCTTTGTGCTCGAAAGGAAAGAAAGAAGCATTTAAACGATTAAAATGCGACTTTTACGTCGAATTTCATATGGAGTCACTCGACGTAAAAAAACAGATTTGATGTTGGTCTTTAAGAGGTCCGACATAAAAGTAGTGTCTCTTATTTATAAAAATATCACTGTGTTTTTTTTTATTTGGTTATTTTTTGGTCTGACGAGAATTGAGTGACGTAAAAAATTCATTTTACACTAGTGTTCTTTTAGATATTTATACCTAAGAAAATAAAAAAATAAATAAGTAATAATATTGTAGATAAAAAGTATATTAAATCAATTTTTTTTCTATTTAATTAAGTATATCCTTTAAATTCTTTTTCTAAAATCTATCTTAATTTTATTTTTTAAAATAAATTTCTATAGAAAAATTTAAACAGGAGAATGAATAGGGTAGGTTTAAACCAAACTAAGCTTGTTGGTGTATTTTATCTATTGACTATATCATTTTAAATTACTTGACTTTAAACATTGACTTATCTAATATGTAGTTCGAACATTTATTAGCCTATTAAAACCTTGTCAAACTTTAGATAAACTAATTCTAACAATCCCAAAAAAAACATGTATATCATAAATATATAATTAATATATATATATATATATATATATATATATATATATATATATATTATCTTAAAAGTAAACAAAACATAAATTTATACTATTTTTAGTTTTAGATCTACACCTACAATTGCTTCCATATAAACATATGATCATCACAGTCCAAACTAATATACAAAACACACAGGGTAAATTAATAATTCGATTTAAGAGAGAAAGCAAAGAAAAAGTTTTAGAGATATAGTAGTTTTGTGAGAATAAAGTTTGAATGGTTAAACTTTTTTATTTATAATTCTTTTTACCTTAAACGGTAAAATTTTAAACTTACTCTTATTATACTACTTCTACTCTTAACTCACTTAAATTAGCTTCTCACATTCAATAATAATAAATAAATATAAAAGGGTGAAAGAAAATAAAAGAGTGAGAGGATAAAATTGTAAATGTATAAGTAAATATATAAAATGATCATTAAGTTTTGGGGAAAAAATCATAAATTATATGAGAGTTACAAAACTAAAAAGAGACTGAGAGAATAAAATTGTAAATATATAAGTAAATATATTTAAAGTTTAGGGGTTAAAATCATAAATTATATGAGAGTTACAAAACTTTGGGGAGGTCACGACCTCACTCAATTTCGAAGAAGATCTGTCACTGCTAACATTCTCCCCAACAATCAAAATTTTCATCCTCGAACATTCACTTACCAAGGAAGAGGTAGGGATAAGATTCTCTCATGATTTTCTCATGCTCCCAAGTGGAATCACCCGACCTAACATCCCATAACACCTTCATCGTATTAATAGACTTGCCCTTAAGTTTCCTAATATGTTGATCCTCAATCCTAATTGACCTACCTAGCCTTAACAGAAAGATCCTCCCTGACTTGCACCTCATCCATCTCTAACAAATTACTTGGGTCAGGTACATACTTCCTTAGCTGAGGCGGTAAAACAATCTCATAAGTTACGAGGCAAATCATCCTCAGAACATGATATGGTCCAATGAACTTAGGAGACAAGTTTCAAGATCTAATATCTTTCCCAAATCACTACTAGGTATGGCTCTTCGAAACACATGGTCTCTAGTTGCAAACTCTAAGGGTTGCCTTCTCTAATCAGCATAAGACTTCTACCTGCTTTGGGAATCTCTCATCCTCTCTTGGATATGTTTGACCTTCTCAATAGTTTATTAGAGCAACTCAAGACTATCAAGATAGCTTGTCCATTTTGATACCAGTATAAAGGAGTCCTACACTTCCTCTCATACAAAGCCTCGTAATGTGTCATCCGATGTTTGCATGATGACTATTATTGTAAGTGAACTCTATCAGTAGAAACATCTCATCTCAACTTCCTAGATGATCCAATACACACATTTTCAACAAATCCTCCAACGATTGGATCGTCCTCTCAAATTGACCATTTGTCTGAGGATGGTAGGCAAAATTGAGTCTCACTATATTGGATGACACTCCATGTAGCCTCACTATCTCCTTAATATATAGTTGTGTAAGCTTGGTGATAGAAATCCTCATATTCATAGGCAAAACGTGAGCTCTTTTCGTCAACCAGTCAACAATTACCCATATAGCATCATGTCCCCTCACTGATAGTGATAAATGGGTAACCAAATTCATGACGATGCTATCCCATTTCTACTAAAGCACATCCAACTGCTACAACATTCCTTCACGTCTTTGATTCTAATGATATTATCATAGCGGACATTTAGGATAGTCTGCCCCACTTAATGACTAAGGGGTATGTATGAGTGAAGTGAAACTTGTTTCTCATATATTTCGTTTAGGAACAAGAGTGTCTCGACCTCATATCCGCTATGATAACATAGTTAAGGTCAATTCTCATGTCTGAGGTATTATCCGCTTTAGAATTCTTGTCTGTGTTTTGTCCTTAAAAGACACATCGATGAGTTAAGAGAGAATGATATATATGAACTATCATTGACCTCAATTTCTAAACAACATAAAACTCATGAACATACTGGAACAATACCTATATTAACATCTAAATTTAGGTAAATAAATTTGTTAAACATTTAGTTTTTCTTTGCAACATATTTAAAAAATATAATAAATGTTAATGTTTTCATATTTTATAAAACTATATATTTAAGGTAATTAAATATAAATTTGATGATATGCAAAATATTTATCATAAAAAAATAATTTAAAAAATATAATTTTAGTGATTAAATCATAAATTACAAAAATAATAACACTTATAAAACATATTAATTAAACCATTTAATATTTTTTAATCTATAAATACGGTTATATCTAAAATACTAATATCATTCTCAAACTAAGAAATAGAAGGACAAAATATATATAAAAAAATGTTTCTATTATAATTTTTATAAAATAGTATTTCTATTTATAATTTAAGATTATATATTTAATATGAAAAACAAAAATAGAATACTTGAGGATATTGTAAGGAGAGAGAAAAGACACACAATGTGTAATTGATGATGTTTCAAGAGATGAAGAAATTACAATTTTGAATTAATTATATTGAATAAAATGTAAAAAAACATAATTATAAGAGAGAGAAAATAAAAAATATCAAGAAATGAAAAAAAAATTATAAAAAATCTCGCTCTATATATATATACTTAACCGATGACTCTATATTTAATTTATTTTATTATTTTTCTTTTAAATTTTGGAACCTTCTCGTATTTAACCATAAGTTTGTTTTAAAATCTGTCTTAAAAATGATGTGCAACTAAACAATTTTGAATATCAATAAATTAGAAATACTAAAATTGACTTAAATTTTTTTCATAGAAGCATGGTATAAATAAATTATTGTAAAAATCATGTGATAAATAAAATAGTTTATTTAAAAAAAAAAGAAAAAAAAGTTTACATACGTTAAATTTTGACATGAATAAAATTGATTCATGTAAAAGTTATCTGAATAGAAAAAGAAGTAAATAATAATAAAATAAGTGAAATAAAATAAACATAAAAATTGAGGGAATGGATTTAGAATAATTTATAGTTTAATTAATGTTTTATTAAAACTACGTAAAAGTATTGAATGATATTTATGACAAATTCATAATTTGCTTATTTGTTTTAAAAATGGGTATAATTCGCATGTCTTACATGTACGTGTCACTGATCGTATATGATCAAATAAGGTGTTTTGTATTATTTATTAAAAAAATGTATTATTTTATCAAATATGGTTATTTTTTTTTAATTTGCCTATACTCCTTATTCTAAAATTACTCTCGTACAGTTAATAAATATTGAAATTTTACTTATAAATCATGTTATTGTATCACTTATTTATTTTGCAATAATTGAATATCATCAAGTTGATCGAGTTATGAGATATATT